TATTAAAGAGCTTAATTATAATTTGAAAGATGCTGGTGAGAAAAGATTATTGCAATTAAATGAGCTTGAAGACATAAGAAATGAGTTTTATGAGAGTGTTAAGATATACAAAGAAAGATGAAGATGTGGCATGATCGAAAGATTCTTATTAAAAATTTTCAGTCAGGGCAACAAGTTTTGTTATAGTTTTGTCAGGGCAACAAGTTTTGTTATATAATGTAAGGTTAAGATTATTTCTAGGCAAACTTAAGTCCAGATGGATGGGCTCATTTGTTGTGATAAAATTTTATTATTATGGTGTTGTGGATATCAAAGATCCAAAAAAAAAGATCCTAAAATTGAGAAAGTATTTAAAGTGAATGGTCATAGATTGAAACCTTATTTTGTAGGGGATAAGCGTAAATTTAACGATCGAACGATGTTGGGTCAACTAGAATAAGCACTGGTTACGTCGCATTGGTTACGTCGAGCTGATAAGCATTGGTTACGTCGAGCTGACAACGTAAAACCAAACGTTTTGTGGGAGGCAACCCATAGTTATCAGTGTGTTTTTGCGTGTGATTAAGATTGTGTGTGATTAAGAAAAATTGGGATAGTATTTTTGAGACTATTATATGTTAGTAATGATTTTAAGATTTTATTTAGTGATCTAGACATGCTAAAATAAGTATTTAAATGAGAATTTGGACGTTTAGTTGACTGGTGCAAAATTAAGCACTGGCACTTAAGCGTCAATATTCGGCGCTTAAGCGCGGATGTTAAAAACCATATGTGAAAATTCAATTTCTAGAAGCTTTAAACACCAATTAGTTAACTTAAACGTGTATGGCAGTTTTAGGATGTGCCTAGAAGTTATTTGAGGATTCAGGCCTAGAAATAGAAGGGTTTTGTGATGGAACTTCACCCTAAAATTATTTTTAGCCCTAAAGTCTAAAAGAAAGAGAGAAATAGAGAAAATGTCTTCATGGGAGATGGATTTAAAGAAAAAGAAAGATGTCATGAGGATGAAGTTCATTAGTCAGAGTGCACAAGAAATGTATAACGGTTTCTTAGTCGTTATTATTAAAGGAACAGCGGAAAAGATCAACAAAATTGAGACTAGCGTGGCTTTACTTGAGACAAAGGTAATTGAAGTTAATGCACATTTAGAGCATATTGGATGGCAATTGAAAATGCAATTTAGTTATACTAGTTATATAGAAGAAGCGGATAAGGTGATGTATCTTAAGCAGAAATGGATTGAAGAAGATTGTATCAGAGCTCATCACCACCGTCCATTTTATCAACACTATATTCCTAATGCCCAAGGAGAGATCAAGGAGAGACTAATGAAAGACTGGAATTTGTCCCAACAAATGAATAATGGAATTAATTTCTATGTTAAAGTTTGTGTGTTAGAGTTTGTTTATTAAGTTCAGTGTTAGAGTTTATTTGTTAGGAGTCGTTGTTTTTATGTGTTAGTGTTAAATCTTGTTTTTAGTTAATTGTGAATATGTGTTTAATTGTGAATGTTTGTTAAGTGTTTGTATTTAAGAAAATTTTCTCATCCGAGACTAATTGGAATGAGAATTAAGTGTTACATGTACTTGTACTAGTTTGTAGATGAATATATGTGTTTGTTTGTGTGAAATTTGTGTTATTTTAGCCTCAAATCGAATTTGTTATATTGAAGAATTTTGAGAAAGAGAAGAGTTAAAGGGAGAGGAAAATAGTCATTTAAGTGTTATAAGACTATTTAAGGGTGGTATACTTAGGTTAATAGTGCATTTTACATAAGTTCAAAAATATAAAAAATCATGCACTGGCGCCTAAGCGCCACATTCTCGTGCTTAAGTGCGATGTAATCCGAGAGGCAGGCGCCTAAGCGCCACTTATCCATGCTTAAGTATCTGTTCATGAAAATCGGTTCACGAACGATTAAAGGTGAAAAATAACCCCAAAAATTGCCATTTTTACTCCTGTCGTCATCTTCTTCCTCACGAGTTCGCGATTTTGAAGTTAGGGCAAACCTTTTCGTGGAGATTTCTTTGTGGATTTGAGCCAAATTTGCTAGATTTGGATTTCTTAAGGTAAGAGCTTCACTTCTATGCAAAAATTTTGGATTTTCACCATGTATTTTGAGTACATTTAGCCATGTATTTTGAGTACATTTAGTATTTTGAGTACATTTAGAAAAACCCAAAAATCACTATTCATGATGAAAAATGAGGAAAAATTTATAGAATTGCATAGAAAGTGTAGTTTATGCTTATAGAAGTTAAGTTTAGTGGATTAGACTTAATTTTTGAAATTATTGTGGAATTTTTTGAAATTTGTAGAATGACCCCAAGAATGAAGAGAAGTAAGGGAAATACCCACTTTGATTCGAGCAAGTTTGTGAGTTCGAAAGCTTAGGATAGATATAATGACGCTCTACATTCACGAAAGTTGATTCCTGAGAAATGTTTTAAAAATCCAGGTGGATCCGTGGAAGATTTGATCTTTTGCCGACAATGAGAACGATTCTATTGTTTTTCTGTTGTAGTTGTTATTTCTGTAGTTCGGGAGTTCTACGCAAACCTCCCTGAGGCAAAACAAGATCGAGTCACGGTTAGAGACAAATTGGTACATTTTTCACCGGAGGTAATCAATATGTTCACCATTTACCACATGATACTTTGTGTTTTTATGCGAACTATAGTCCGACTGAGACGGAACTGGACGAGATTATTTCATATTTGACTGTTGGAAGGGGACTCTGGAAAATCACAAATGAGAGGAGAGTCAACTTTTCCACTTCAAAGTTAAGTGCACCATCGAAGGCGTGGCACTACTTTATTTTAGCTCGTTTGATACCGACAAATCATCTTAGTGAAGTTACGAGGGAGAGAGCAACGTTGAATTATTGTATTCAGGAAGGCAAACTTATCAATATTGGAGCTTTGATCTGTCAGACTATCATCGGTTCTCTCACTGGCGCTACTACTGCAGGTCTAGGATTTGCATCCTTGATCTTTTTTTTTTGTGTGAGCGGGCTAGAGTGAGATATGATAGCTATGATAGCTGGGAAGAAGTAAATGATAGCTGGGAAGAAGTAATGTTGCCTCTAAAGCCAATTACAAGTGTAAATGTGAAATCATATTCTGAACATTCTATTATTGGTTGGATATGAGGATTTTCAAGAAGTTATGGAATGTCGACGTCTGCTGCATCCACCTCTGCTGCTTCTACATCTAGACCATCTACCTCGTGAGCAACTACTTCTAGAGGTGAGTCTACTGAAACTCAAGATCAATTATTGCAGAGGATGATGGACAATATTAATTATACCGCAAATAAGGTACGAAATTTAGAAAACTTTGTAGATCATATTGATCGGTATGCTAGAAGACATAGTGATTATGAGGAGAAATTTCACTCATCTTTGGAGAGTCTCATTAGGGGTAATCAAGGAGTGAAATTTCCCTCATATCCCAGATACTCTGATTATGAGCCTAGATACCCTAATTATGAGCCTACAGTGTCTAGAATAGCAGTGATTCTAATGATGAGGAAGAGGACTGAGTTAATTTTATATTTGTAATATGTGATGGACTACATGGTTTGGACTTGATACATTTGAGTTTATGTACTTGTTTGGACTATGTGATGTGTTGAATTTTTTGTTAAATTGTTATTGTAATGTTTGTGTTTTGTTAGTATTTTGTTTTAAATTCTAGGGTAGTAATTGTTGTTGTATGTTGAGTAATGTGTTTTAGTCAGTTAGGATTGAACTTATTTCTCTGTCTTTTGAAAAGTTGGAAAATATTACTAGCTTTAATTTTAAACTTTAATTTCAGAAAACTACTACCCTGTATTTTTCTTTTCGGTCATGCATAGCAATACTTTGGAACTCATTTTTCAGTTAAATGGCTCTTGATCGAATTGTCAGTTGTAAAAAATTTTCTATGATTGTCCATATGTCAAAATAGGAACTAAGATTAAGAATATAGTGTAGAATAGATGCAGTGAAAGTGCAATGCCAAAATTTTAGTCGGTTGACACGTATTCAAGATTTGGAAAAACTGCACTATGGACATTAAGATTCGTTTGGCCAAGCAGCAAACTAACCGATTGAGGAATCCTTCAAATCATTTGCGTTGAAGCTTTTGACAAGTCGAAGTCTCCAAATTGGGTAGTTTTGTACAAGTTGAAAGTTGACTATATGTTTGAGGTTTGGCATCAGAAATTTCAAAGATGAGGGAATGGTCGACTCCTATTTTAATGAGTAGAGCCAGTGGAAGGATGAGGATTGATAAAAGAGATAATTGAATCATTCACGAGGGAAGGGAGAGCGGACTACATGTTATTACCAATCTGGTTTTGATATCATGAAAAAAAATCAAGCATACATATGTTGGGCGGACAGAAAGATGAAGGAAATGGATAGAAATAAATACAAAGTGAGCTGTAGGAAGTGTCTCATCTCATTTTTTTATCATCTCATTACATTGCAAGAATAATAGACATATACTTAGCAGTGTAGACCGACTATGTACATGTTTCAATACAATCTATTACAAGTATATGGCTAGCTGTTAGAGATGGAAGGTGAGGAGGTAATCATAGGGAGAGTTATATATAAATACCTTGTTTGTATTTGTCTTGTTAAATATATGAGCTAATAAAAACTAGTTGATCTTGTGCTAGTCATTAAGTAAGACATGATAAAAACCAACAAGCTGTTTTGGCAAACCTAGATTTGATTTCACAATGATAATATTTTTTTAAAATTTCTGCAAATTAAACTCGGTTGGCACCTAATATTTTGTTCATCATGTTTATGTTTCAAAGATCAGAAGGAATACAAATGAAACTTTTCAAATATCACAATGCAAAATGAAAATTGTTCGTATCTGGAGGCGCAGCAGTCGCTACGCTAATGGAGTCACCGTATTAGTGGACATTATGTCATGATTATAAAAGAAGAAAGATTATAGCTTCTCTTTAATTCAACATAGTTTTTTATCAAGGCATGTTGTGCGAATTATGTTCAAAAATATAAATATAAATAAAATATGAGTTTCATCATGTTATGATATACATGGAATTTGTCCGCCCCCAATGCCAACCCTTTCATTTTTCTCTAATCAGAATAAGAATGGCGAATCTCGCAGATTTTCAAATGATCAGACAGCAAATTTCCAAACAAGCTATTAAAAAGCAATTTCTTTCATGTTTTGTTTTCCACCAAAATAGAGGAGAGGCCGCTTATGAATTTGGTAAAATAGACAACCTTAAGCACAATCACTTCCAGCTTTTAACACATAATACATTTAACTTAGTACCTGAGATCCAATAAGAGACCGGCTGACAATCAATTTAGCTAACCCATGGCATACTTCTGTGTCCAGCTCCTTGCGGTAGTCTCATACTTGTTCTTATCCGTCTTATACATATGTGCGATCTCTGGAACCAATGGATCATCTGGGTTTGGATCTGTCAATAATGAACATATTGAAAGCAGGACCTGGCAATATTCAAGTTCAAATCAGTTAGACACGCAAACAAGAAGTAACAGAGAGTATATTAATAAGTTAGTCTGTCTTTATACATATTTCTGAATTCAATCTTAATTGAACCGGTACACTGATTCCAACACTGCTTTTCTGATAGAGATTTAAATGAACATGTTGGTAGATTAGTAGAAGATTTTAGAAATTTTCATGGCGGTTATAATTTTGGAATGATTAATGAAGAAGGTAGAAACATATTAGAATTTGAATTAGCTTATAATTTCGTTATTGTTAATACTTTATCAAAAAAAAAATGAGCATACTATATTACCTGTAATAATGGATCTAATAAAACACAAATTGATTATTTTCTTATGAAAAAAAGGGGTCGTAGAGAATGTAAAAGTGTAAGGTCATTTCAAATGAATGCTTAAGCACTCAACATCGATTATTAGTTAACATTTTAAGATGAGTTATAAAATAAAGAATACATTACAACCTTGACATAGAATTAGATAGGGTACCTAAAAAATAAATAAAATTATTTTTAAAAGTAAATTTCAAGATTTCAAGATTTGAAATGTTCACGAAGAAGCTGATTTCTATGTGAGATAAAGTAACAAACACTAGTAAACAAATGCCAAAAAATAAAACTGGAGAATAAAAAGGAAAATTTTATAAATAAAAATATTCTCGAGTGAAATAATAAAGTGCAAGCAAGGAAAAAATATAAGAAATTGTGCTATAAAAATTTGTTTAAATGTAAATGCTTAGAGAATCAAGAAAAATATAAGGTGACCTCTAGGGAGTTTAAAAGAACAACTTGTGATGCTAAGAATTTTGTTTTCAGTGATCTTTATAATAAATTAGATACTAAAAAGTAGGGTTTTCAAAATGACTCGTTCACGAACAGCTCGAGTTCGGCGCGTTATATATATATATATATATATATATATAACTTTTTTCTATAAAGATTGGCCAGAGGCTATGATATGAGCCTCAAACTAACCTCATGTGTCTAACTACTCCACTTTTCTGCACACAAGAGGGTTCAAATCCCCGACCACAGAGGACTTAGAACTAACTTCGCAGATGTCAACTAAAGAGTCGGGAATGTGACACATGTATACATAGATATACGTGTATGTATGTATATATATATATAACGAATAATTTTTGTGTTGATGTATAGAAAGCCTAACACGAACAGAGATTTGTTCGTTTGTGTCAACCTGGTTAACAAGTTCAAATTCACCCTCATTGGGAAATTTCAATCGGGACATCTCAAAATGGAAATCGTTTGAAAGGCTTTTGAAGATTTCAAACTATTGGAACTTTAGAAGGTTGGCTTCTTTGATGGGAGACATGTAGTGATACAATTATCTAAATTGGAAGATTACGCCAAAATATTTTCCAAAAAATTTATGACAATAAAGAGAAAATGTATGAAACTGCTTAAATGGTCTCCCGAATTTGACTCTAGTCAAGAACCACCTATAGTTCCAATCTGATTTAAACTACCAGGCCTAAAGTTGCACTACTTCAACCACCAAGTCCTTTACTCTATTCAAGCTGCACTAGGGAGACCTATGAAATTGGATGCACCCATCTTCAATCTAACCTGACCTTCAGTTGCAAGAATTCTTGTTGAAATTTGTTGAAAGGGATATCACCCTCCTTGATGTGGACGAAATATGGTTTGGTACTACCCACAATGGGTATTGGCAGTCAATTATAGCAGAACAAAGACACTACTACTGCAATCACTGTAAACTGTTTGGGCACACCTCTGTCAAATGTTTCAGGCTTCACCCACATTTGAGATCGGCAAATCCTAACAATATCATCTATGTAGAGGAAAATATGTCAAACACTGTGAACCTTCCAGAAATGTTGAATGAGAATTTGACTCATAAGGCTACTACTCACCAACCAGACCAGCAGCTTATGCCTACTGTTATTGAGGCAGTTTTTCCTCAGATTGCAAATTCTACAAATTTTGTTGTAGCAAATGTTAGCCGAAGTGTCTTGAAACCACCTATTGAGAGAGAAGAGGGTACTCAAGTTATGGAGGAGTGTCAGGATCAAGGTGTGTTGCAGGCTGAGTCAGATCAGCAGTTTACCTCCATCGAAGATCCACCTATTGCTCGCACGAGACTACCTTTGGCAGATGATTGGCTGGTTTACAAATCTAGGAAAAAGAAGGAAGGAATGACAGATCTCAGTAACTATCAGGATGACTGTATCATTGTTTCGGGTGGAAGCTCACATCTCAGTATGTTACTGGAATCCCTTCCTACATCCAGGGGAAAGGGAAGCGGTATACCCACCGACTACACCCACCATGATTAGGTGTTGTTTCTTTTTTTTTATTTTTTTGGGGAATACGTTTGTAATTCCTGTGAGTGAGCTCTTTGTACTCATTCACTAAAAATCTTTGTATCCTCTCTTTTTCTATAAAAAAAAAGACATATATGTATATAGATATATATATATATATATACATATATGTATATAGATATCTATATACATTTTTTTTAAGAATGGGCTGGGGCGTGAGGTCCCCAACCCACTCTATGGACTCAACCCCCGCTAGGTCTGGAGGCGACCCAGTGTGCAAATAATCCGAGTACCACCTGGCTTAAGGCAACACTGTGTCACCGGGGAATTCAAACTAGTGACCTAAGGGGACTTACGACCTTCAAAGAGGCTACTCTACCAATAGGCCATGGAACGTGCCTAAATAGATATACGTATGTGTGTGTGTGTGTGTGTGTGTACATACATGTATAGATAGAAATGTATGTATGTTGACTAAATTGCTACAAAGATTTATAAATTAAAATTATTAATTAAAAGAATAGAATAAAAATAAATTAAATTCTATTTAATTAAATATTTTAATATAAATAATAAGATTTAAATCTCAATCCTACCTTAACGTCATATAGTTACATGATCAGGGATGTCAAAATGGCTCGTTATTCGCGAACAACTCGTGTTCGGCTCACTAAGCAAACAAGTCGAACATCAACAAATTTTTTGAGCTGGATATATTAATGAATTGAACACGAATAACAACATTTTTTTAATGAGCCGAACAAGAGCCAAGTTTGAGCGCACTCAAGCTCAACTAGTTTACACCTCTACTAAACAGAGTGAAAAATATATGTACAAACTAGTCAAACAAAAAGAAAAGAAAATGAAAGATTTAATTCAAGTGTATTAAAAATTAAAATCAAAAAGTATTTTTCTTAAGAGGAAAACATTCAACATAAATGGGTGAGCTATTTTGATAATTTTTTCAATAAAATTTATGAAAATACAATCAATCTTAGTGATCTTAATATCATTAATAATAATAATTTTTTTTCTATTTACCGTCGTATTAGTAAAAAGAAAGTTAATGAGGTATTAATGAAAAAACAAAGATGGAAAATCAGTAAGACCTAATGATATCCCAATTGAAGTGTAAAAATATTTAGGAGATTTTGAAACTTCTTGGGTTACTAAACTCTTTAATATTGTTTTAAGAAAACTAAAAAGATGCCCAAGAAGTAGAGAAAGAGTATTTTGGTTCCCATTTTTAAGATTAAAGGGGATGCACTAAAGTGTGTGAATTAAGAGCAATTAAGTTAATGTGCATACTTTAAAATTGTGGAAGAGAGTAATTAAACATAGATTAATATGTGATACAAAAATTTTTCATAATAAATTTTGATTTATGTCGGGCAAGTCTACTATAGAAGTTAAACAGTTATTGAGAGATTTGATTAAGAAGTGCAGAGAGAGTAAGGAAGATCTATGTATGATTTTTATTGATTTAGAAAAAGCTTATGACAAGGTTCCAAGAGAAGTTCTTTCAAGATTTTTAGAAAAGAAATATGTTGATATGACTTCTATTCAAGACTTTAAAGATACGTATACTAGAATTGTTACTTGTGTTCAAACTGAAAGTGGATTGACCAAACATTTTCTTATTTCAGTTGGATTACACCAGGGACCTGTTTTTAAGTTCATTTCTTTTCGCTTTAGTTATGGATCCTCTTACTGGACATTTACAAGAGGATGTGGTGATGATATCCTTCTTGGGGATAAGAGTAAAGAAAGAGTTCAAGAAAAACTTGAATTATGGAGGTCTACATTGGAGTCTAGATACTTTCATTTGAATAGATCTAAAATTGAATAATTGAATGCAATTTTAGTAGTAGTAGCTCTAGTGGCGGAGTTGTAACTATGGGTGATCAAATCGTTAAAACTTTTGAACGTTTTAGATATCTTGGGGCTATTGTTAAAAGTGATGGTGATATACATGGGAAGGTTACTAGTAGATATCAAGTTGCTTGGTTGAAGTGGAGGAAGGCAACAGGCCTATTATGTGGTAGAAAAGTACCGCTTAAACTTAAGAAAAAATTTTATAAGATGGTGGTGAGACCTGCAATATTTTATGGTAGAATGTTGGCCTGTAAAAGAGAAGCATAAAATAAAGTTAATAAAGTTAAGTATTGCTGAGATGAGAATGCTTAGATAGATGAGTGGCTTGACACATAGAGACAAAATGAAAAACGAATATAACTCCAGTGGAAGAAATATTAGAGAGGGTTATCTTAGATGGTTTGGTCATATCAAACGTCAACCAACTGATGATCTGTTTAGGAGAGTAGATGTTTTAGATTCGAGTTATGTTAAGAATGGCAGAGGTAAAACTAAAAAGATTTGTGCATATTGTAAAAAAAATGATCTTAATGTATTCTAATTAAATGAAAATAACACAAATAGGACACAATGGAAAAAAAAAGGTTTCATATAGCTGGCCCCACTTAGTGATACAAAGACTTGTGGTTGTTTGTATTGTTAGTATTCCCCGTCATTGAATTTGAGGTGAATTTTAAAAGGATTTATTATCCGGACACCTTGCTCATATAGATTGCTGACAAAAATCATTTTGGGTATAAAGTCCTTAATCAAGCAAGTCTTAGCATCTCTGGTGAAAGTCAAGTACTATCACCTTTAC